GAAAACAGAAGGAAAACCTCCATCTAATACCGCTCAGCCGCGTTACTTGCTGTCAACTTGCCAGAAGTCTATTATACTGGGTGGGTACTGTCGGGGTCTCACGCGGTCCACGTCACCGAAGATGTAGAAGATGTCGGCACAGTGCGGTCAACACTGAAGCAGTAAAGTGGTGCCAGGGCGCAGCGAGCGAGCGAGCGGGCCTTTTCGGCAGCAGCTTCTATCCACGGATAGAGGGGTTTACAGCCTCCTGAAGCTAATTTCTGTTCTAGCAGTGCTAGACAATAACTCTATCAAGAGACAAGGGGACGCGCACCGCTGCGCATCTCCGAATAGAATAACTAATGCGGCCTGTGTACGTGTGTGTGTGTATGTATGTTGTTACAGGGTGGTTAGCATAATTTTAGTTTACTAAAATTGTGCTAAGCTTCACCAGCGGCCCCCTTTCCCGAGGCAGTTCCTTGCTCTCCCCTGCTAGAGGGGCACCCTAATCCGTTCACCCCATCCGACTTCAGAATGTATTCGTTGGGTTCAGCAACTCACCACCAGCATCCAACTAAATCTAGCGGATCAACGGCGCCTCAACTTAGTTCCTGGTCAGCTCGCAAGTTGATATTATCACGTCCAACACCGTCCATAAGATGGGGGGCCACCTCCCATTTCACCACTTCTCAAACACCCGAGAAGTCGGCAGGCGGATTTGAACCCGGGTATATATAACCCGGGTATATATGTGTGTACGTGTCCCGCAGAAACCCCGTCGGCCCCCACCGTCGCCCAAGCCATCACCTCCACCACCACCGCCAGGTGAGCTCCGAAACCGCTAAGATCTCCACGCCGGTATGCCGTGCACTGATGTGCGTGTGTATTTGGGTACGATGGTGTGTATGTGTGTGCGCGGTGTAATTATAGTAATATGTATATCTGTATGTATGCTTATGCGGGTGTTGCAGGCAAGCAATTCCAGGCTTATAAGTACAAGAAGTACGTCTACATCTTCTCAGTCAACTCCTACACCTACAGTGAAGCTGCAAACTTCTGCTACTCGCGGGGCTACAGCCTGGTGCCGTACAGGGACTTGCTCAGTAAAGGTATGCGGGCAGATCGGCAGCGAACACCAATGTACGACAAGCTCTTGTGCAGGCGCCCATGCCGCCGGCACGTACCCGGCCGTGCCTGTGAGCACACGTGTTAGACCTCCTGCTGCCATGTCTGTCTGTCTGTCTGTCTGTCTGTCTGTCTGTCTGTCTGTCTGTCTGTCTGTCTGTCTGTCTGTCTGTCTGTCTGTCTGTCTGTCTGTCTGTCTGTCTGTCTGTCTGTCTGTCTGTCTGTCTGTCTGTCTGTCTGTCTGTCTGTCTGTCTGTCTGTCTGTCTGTCTGTCTGTCTGTCTGTCTGTCTGTCTGTCTGTCTGTCTGTCTGGTTGCCATGTACATCATGTATGCATCCATGCACACAGCTAGCTAACTCAGGGTTTTAGGGTTACTTAGCATACACACACATACATACATTGCACTCACTCGTTGCCGTGCCGCAAGCGCGTTTGGGTGATTGAAATCTGTAAATGTACGAACGAATATACGAACTATAAGCACGCGGTCACGGTATCTCCTCTATGTATGTAGGCCATACATGTCACACAGCTACATTGATATTAATCCCCATGTGTGTAATCTTCCGCTACCTTACAAGCAATACATTACTGCATATTGCAATCCGTGCATGTACGTGCCTACTCACCACTACTGCATTACAACAGACGTCACCGGAGCGCTGTGCTTCAACAGTGGACTGGGCTGCTGGGTGGCGGGTGCTCAGAGCGGCTACTGCCCCTTCATCGACCCAAGTGGGAACGGGGGTCCGTACGCAAGGAACTGCGAAGAAAAGCAACGTGTGCTCTGCTTCCGCCCGAGTCCCTAGCTACAAACATACATACATGTCCAGCAGTCCGTCCACTATGCATACTAACGCTCCCACACACCTGGGGGGGGGGGGAAGAGCATTCTGTCCGGCAGCCGGCGGTATACTGCTGCTGCTCCTGTGATTACTGCTGCTGTTACTGCTGCTGTTGCTGCGGTGAAATGGTGTTTGACATCCTGCGGCAGGCGGTCGTCTGGGTATGTATTGTATTATGTCAGTATGTATGTGCGAACTTATTACCGTTTAGATGGAAAACTGCTTTCTGTACTTATCGCTGCGTTGCTCGCCCAGTGACTGATGGCTATAGAATAGCGAGCTAGCTAGCACGGCAGCCACCACCACCTGAAGCTCCTAACGATGCGTGATCCTCTCACTGACCGTACGTGAGCTTTCTTGCGTGATCCGTGAAGCTGAGTGCTTGTGGGCACACACACATGTTGCAGCCATATTTGTATGCATACGTGTCAGGAGGGTTATTACAGCCAGCGGTGGCTGCTCCAGGGTGATTGCTCGTACCCGCTGCCTATTTAAGCCCAAGCAGGCGTAGCGGGCGCAGTCTCCGCCGGCTGGGTTTTTTACGTCGGTGTGGTACGGTGCTGCTTTTAGAATAATAATATTGTTGTGTGACCCATTTGCTCTCTTCCTTGTTGGCTTTCCATGCATCCGTCTGGTGTAGCTCGTCGTCGTGAGCTGTGCCTAGTGGATAGCTGTAGCTGTGACGGCTACGCTGGCAAGGTGCTGCTGTCCCGCTGCTGCAGAAGACCCGGTATTTATGGAAACCAATTATGCTTGTTTAGCATATCTACTGTATGTGTCTGAATTCGTATGAAGCCGTATGCAGTGTAATATATAATCCAAATAAGTAACAATTCGGGATTTGGGGCTTGGAAAAACAGAACGATGGAGTTGTATATTTTCATTCCTTGTTTCAAAACTGACGGACAGTTCTTAAGTTTAGGAAACCTATTTAAATTACAGCGTATCAATGAGGAGCCGCAGACGCCGCAAGGCAATCACACCCCTGAACCAACGTGGCACCGCAGCCTATACGCCTGCAGCTGGTCCAAACACTACAAAATATGCGCAAGCAGTGCAAGCCAAGGAATCCAACACCGCGCAACCACCAAAGCTGCAAAATATGCCAGAAACTACTCCTGGTAAGGGCGGTTAGGGTTTTAGAGTTTTAGGACGCGGTCATGGTCGGACGACGAACACTGAGACCTGCACAGTCTGCACTTGGCTCTGTGTTTGTGTTGTTGGGACTACTGCTAACTCACGGGGGAAGCCGGAGGGGGGCCGGGAGGGGAGCGGAACCACCCCCAGCGCCGCACAGCTAGGTAATAAATCATACAAAGCTCTGAAAATCTCATACCTGGTAAGTAAGTAATGAAAAGGGAAGAAGCACTGGCTGTGTGAGAGCCCTATGGAGCACCCCAAGTTGCAACTGAACAGGGGCAGCTAAGAACTGTCGCATATATTCGTGTGCGTGTGTGCACTTCACGTAATGCATAAATGGGAACGGATGTAAATAAACCTGTCGTTTCGCCACCTCCACCTCCGTACTGCAGCAATTTTATTTACTGCTGGCGGCGGCGTGTACAGGTCGCAGAGTAGCAAGGAAGTAGGTGTTAGGAATGAGCACTGCAGATATGTTGCATCACCACGCACGTACACAAGAAGTAAACATCGAAGTGGATATCCAGGCAGTCGTACACCCGAGCTAGTACGGCATTGAAGTGCACATCACGCTGCTGCTGCTGGTGCTGCTGTGTCAGCAGCCAAGTAGTCATCATGCATGTCGTCATGCGAATGGATGTGGTCTCGGAGCCCACCAATAGAAAGCGTACTTGCTTTATCCAGCTTCAGACACATCATTAGCGACAAATCGCTCTACCCGACCCCGCGTGTCTCCGCCGATAACCAGCCCAGAGGCTTCTCGTGCTGTGCTCGCGAGGGTCTGTCACTTAAAAAATGCTGCGGACTACTCTGCTGCGCACGTGGGTATAAGTATTGGGTTTGGCCTGCCTGCCTCATCCACCTCCACCCCTGCTGCCAGTCTAGAAGCCTAAAAACAACTAACGAAGCAAGCTCGCAAGCCCGCAAGCAAGCAGCGAAATGTGATGACATACATACATACATACATACATACATACATACACCAGCAGCACGTTCAGCAGTGTCAAAAACATTACGTTATGTGTGCACGCAGGCCAGCGTGCACGCATGCATTTGTATCTTGGCTCGGAAGACGTCTGTCATGGAAATGCATGATCGGGGGGTGATGATGACGGCGAGTGTGATGTTTTCTGCTGCCCGCAACACGCGCATGACCCCTCCCTCATGCGGAGGTGCACATCACCCCACTCCCAGTCATCCTGCTGCGTACTTCACAATGTATATACCACTGTACGACCACTACTAGCTAGGCCCCAGGAACCGTGACTGCTTCAAGTTGGACTTGTTCCCCCGCGGCTGGTGGTGGCACATCTGCTACTGCTGCAATAGTGGCCTGCTGCTGCTGATGATGATGATGCTGTTGGCCCAATACTACTCCTGCTCCTGCTGCGGCTGCCACTGCTACTGCTGGTGAACTAACAGCAGTAGCAGTAGCAGTAGCAGTAGCCGGCTGCTGCACCAGGTGTAATGATGAGGGCGGCCCGGGTCCGGGTCGTCCCCTAGCTGCGTCGAGAAACTCCACTAGCGTGGACTTGAACTGGCCACTGCGTGCGTGCGTGTATGTATGTATGTATGCACGTACATGTGTGAGTATGTATGTGCGTAAGTATCTATGTACATGCAAACAAGTCAGCGCAGCTCGGATAGGTTTGATGCAAGAACGGGTATGATGCAAGCAAGAGCTCAGCATAAATGTGTGCATGTGCCGGATGGGGACAACACGCACATACACACACACATCACACACACACACACACACATCACATGCATGTGGTGGGAAGCCAGCAAGCCCCCGTGATCCATAATGATTACTTATATGATATCCAGCAGGTGCCCGCAGTGCCCAGAATGTCGAGTACGACAAGAAAGCTGCTAACCGGGCGAATACGCTCATGCTAGCTTCTGCCATGCTTACAACACACACACACATATATATACATACATATCTACATCTACATCTATATCTATATAAACTAGGTATAGGTGACTAGCGAGCCAGACAGCCTGCCAGACCGACCTGCATGTGGGCACTAGGTGTGCGCCTCCGTGGGTGTACGACGAGACAGTTGCGGGGTTGAAACAGGCCCCCAGCTGGGCTGTCCGTTCCGGGGGAACCTGAAACACATTCGCAGGTAAGGTATATGTATCTATGTACGTATGGATGTACGTATGTATGTAGGGATTAGAGGAAAACAACGCTAGTGGAAACACGTGAGGAGATGTGTACCAACCGAATGCGAGCGAGCAGTGCAGCAATGTGCAGCAAATTAAAGAGGAGCTCAGCTCCGTCCTTGTACAAATACCAGCACCAGCACCAGTACCAGTACCAGTACCAGTGGCAGCAACAGCAGCAGTAGCAGCGGCAGTAGCAGCGGCAGTACCAACACCTAAATGCAAGGTCGCCCCCCACCCACCCACCCACCAGTGAGTCAGACGTCCCGGTAACCAAGAGCAAGGGCACCCGGCTGCTGCAGCTGCCCGCCCGGACCAGTTCCGCTACAGCCGGGTCCCGGGGGAGGAAGCCGGCAACCTGCCGGGGTGTGTGTGTGTGGGGGTGAGTGGGCATAATGTGGCAGCAATATCAGGAATTAATGACCAATCGCTTCGTGCATTGCTAAGGTGATGACGGTTACATGTATGTTCGTGTGTATGTTTGTATGTGCGTGCTTCGGGCCCTTGATGTCAACGTTACTCCTCCAACACGTGGGCGATGAAGGCGGCCTCCGATCCCTTCCCGGCCGATGAGGATCCACGGATGTACAGAAGAGTGTACGGCCAATAGATGAGTGTACGGCCATAGAATGGTATACGACCATGAAACCTATCAAGGGGGAAAACTACACGCATATACACACACCGCTAGTTAGATTGGCTACGTACCAGAATTGCGCATTTCAGGCTCCGCAACAGCGCTGCAGGACTAGCAGCTGAGGCAACAGCGGGCTCTCCGCCACTGCCACCGTTCTGCCGGTCACCGCTGCTGCCATCGTGCTGCTGCTGCTCCACCTGCTGCTTGAGCCCACCAGCGAAAGTCGCATCATCAGCAGTAGCAGTAGCAGTAGCAGTGGCGGTGGCGGCCAGGTGCGACAGCAGCAGTGCGGCGGCTGTAGCGCCCTGGCTGAAGCCCAACAAACCTACAACACGTGCAAACAAGCAGGCTGCTTACCATACAGCACTGTTGCTAGCACGTCCGCTATTACAATACGGGTTGGGCCTTCAGAAAGTCAGCTGCCACTTGTCTGTCAGCTGCTGCTGTCGCTATCTTTCAGTCAGTCAGTGGTTCAGCAGCGCAATACTGCTTAGAAGAACGATACCCCTGTACGGCAACTGCCCCTAGGTGCGCAACCCGTCCACCCGCTGAGTACGCATATCACCGGTCGATTGCCCGGGAGCACAGACGTAGTAGCTATACAAGTACGGCACACACGTATATATCGTCTACAAATACGCGCTAGGGCGCTCCACCAGCATCTTGAGAGGCCTCTTAAGCGGCGGCCAGCAGGTACGACACCACCTCCCCTGTCCTGCCCTGTCTTGTTCTGCTAGCCCGTGAGCCCTGCGGCAGCTGCAGCTCCTCTGCTCCTCCTCAATCCACCGCTACACCGCCCACCACTGCCTGATGCCCAGCTCCGCCCCTGCTCACCATCCGGCTGATGCAGCCGCAGCGCCTCCAGGAGCGAGTCCTGCGCCACCTCCCACCCTGCAAGAAACACGCCAAGCAGCCCAACCGAATGAACAAACAGAAAATAGATAGACAAACAAACAAACAGCCAAACAGCCAATGCTAGGCCCAAGTAGCAGCCGCCGTACATGTGGGTATACACACCCACACGACAACAAGTAACCATAGCATTGTCACGTGCTCCGCACAGGCATACATACATACATACACATGCATACATACCCGTATAGGACGCGGCCTTGGAGGGCCTTCCCTCCGGCCCCGTATCCGTCCACTGCCACCAGGAGCGGCCCTCCCGCCCCCCCTGGACCTCCTCAGGGTCGTCACCCCCCGGAAGACCCTGTGGTGGCGGGGAGGGTAGTGGCGGGAGGGTGGCGGTCTTGGTGATGATGGCGGTGAACAGGAACAGTAAATGACAGCGACACCACAGCGGCGCTACATACATACATACATACATACATACATACATACATACATACATACATACATACATACATACATACATACATACGCCAGTCGCACCTGCGCTTCAAAGGGTGCATCCACGAACACGAACTCGACTCGGCTCTTGAGGGCCTTACGCATGGAGCCCAGCCGGCTGCGGAAGATCTGCATGACAACATATACATACGCACATACGTAATCGTTTGATTGTTTGCTCAACTGTTTGAATCTTTGCCACATCGCCAGGAATGCCATGTAGGTCTTAGCTGTTACCCTCTAACCAGCAAGCTAATAAGCAGGTAAGCAGGTAAGCAACTAAGCAGCCAGACAGCTAGACACGAGAGTCACGCACCTACCTCGGCGTTCTGCATGTAGCCGTGCAGACAGAGCAGTTTGAGCTTGGGGACGGAGTCGGCCACTGCACGGGTAAGGCAGGGTTAATGTACGGCAAATGAGGAAGGAGCAGCAGTAAGGATACACATGTACATGGCCGAATTACAACTAGACTCTGAGTAAATGCGGGCAGCATGTTACTACAGATGTAGGCATATGTTGAGGAGAGCCGTCAGGGCCACAACAACGGAGTTCTCCACTAGTTGGATTACTGGTGGAAATTCATCATCGTCTCGTGATCTGCTCTTCCAGCGAGGACCAGGGTGGTGAGCGGACTTGCAAGCATGGATGGGTCATTGCGCGCAGGGGCCTGACACATCAGTTCATGATGATAGGAAATAAAGCTAATACTTGATGCCACAAAACAATGACGTGCACGTGGAAGGATGCACGCGAGAGAGGACGGTTGATGGCAAGCCGTGATGTTCTCACAACTGCAGATCCCGGAAATTCCAGCTATACTCACTTTTGCCACGATGTGTAATGAGGCCGTCTCCACCGGTCTGTCTGGTGCCTTCGGCACCCTGGCCCGTGCGGATGGCGTCGCTGCCGCTGTAGCCGCTCCGAGCGTCCTCGACGGGCTTGGGGGCTGGCTTCAAAGCTGCGTGAGAAAATCTTAAGCGCCTTGCGGCGGTTGCTCCTAATGTTAGACCTGGCCGTGCCTGCGCAATGCGCAAAACTGCCCTGCTGGCTGTGGTGCAGAGCATGCCAAATTGAGATCAGACAGCGAGTCGCTTGTAGAAGTACAAGCCCCTACAAATTATGAAAAGCTTTACATTATGACTAAACATAACTTTGGTTTTCCTGTTTCCGTTGCGGCCTGCTGGCCTTTGTACAAAGCTACAAACCGAGCATCGAAGTTTTAACCTAGACCTTTAGTAAGAAACTTGGGAGCTGTCCATTGTGAGAAGTAAATCGGCCGCGAATTGCAAGTTCACAATCCTGTGTCAGGTAGGCTATTTGAACGGCAGCTTCACGTGATGGGCAATTAGGTCTGCCTCAGTTTAGAGTAGCAATCTAAAGTAGCAATATGCACTACACTTAAACCTATCCAGTCTCGTAAAGGAAAAGACCCTCGTATAGCCGTTCTGCTGGGCGTATCGGGTGTCGAGCCATGACGTTGAGCAAGCCCCTGCCGCGCACAATCACCCTTCATAACGGAGTTGAGCTTCCGGTGAGGTTGAGACGGCGGCACATGAGTCCCAAGTCTTGGCGGAACGGCCAAGCTTGTGGGTCATATGCTCCATCCGACTGTCAGGCTACGTAGACATCACGTACTGCGGCTGCCTCTCATTATCGTTTGCGCATTTGTCCCTTTATGACGATCGAAATGATTGGGGTTCGGGGCTGTGTCGGCGCCCATTACGTCAGTTGATACCTCCTCACGCCATTGCATGGCGCCCCCTCCTCTCTCACTAAAGACACACACGGCTCGTCTCTCCATCAATCGTACAACACGATGAAATCATCTTTTAGGGTCTCTCTTGCACGTGCTTTACCAAGCCGTGCACTTCAATCCCATCCAAATTCCTTCATCGTACAAATTGTGTCGCATTGTCGTTCCGTATCGTACCGCAGGCGGTGGGTCTGGGCACGTTCCGAGCTCAGGGTGATGACGCGCGTACGGCAGTACTGGCGGCGCTACGGTCAGGATTGCGCCACATTGACACGGCCTCTATCTACAAGGTACGCAATTCAAAAACTTTAAGGGTACGAATTGTCAAGGGTGGGTAATCCGTACTTTTAAGGGACAGACCCCACCAAAGGGATTGGCGAAAAGGGGGGTGTCGGGGGACTGGAAACTCCGCCACCACCAAGCAAACCACCACCAAAAGTGAGTGAGGTCCAGATGCCTAATCAGGCGCTGAGACGAGGCGGCCTCGAACGGGACGGAGGGCGCCTGCTGACGAGTGGTAGAGGAGGGGGTAGAGGCACGGCCGCGGGGCAAGATTATCGTCGTACCGGCATTTCTGATCAGGGGTAAATGTCGTACGGGCCGTAGGAAGGGAGTCCGCCAGCTTTCCGATCCATTCGAGGGGTTCTGCATCGTCGTACATCGCCCGGATCAGTTTACAGCTCTTCCGTACTACCAACCCCACCCCACCCCCCAACCTCCCCCATCACCCTTTGCTTCATCACATGATTTCCGGAACCAACATAACCGCCGCGATAACGAACTAACAACCAACCAACAGAATGAGGCGCCCATCCGCCAAGCCCTGGCTGAGAGCGGGGTGCCGCGGGAGGACGTGTTTGTGACGAGCAAGGTCTCACCGTACGAGCAAGGTGCAGGACGAGCCCGTACAGCCGTGGAAGGTATCATGGAACGCCTTGGACTGCAGTACTTGGTACGACGTCCTACGAATGCACCCCGCTTAGACTCCGGTCGTATATACCAATGTGGGTTTAAACTTCCTTTCCCCAACTCCCCACTCCCCGCGCACAGCCCACCCAAACCCACACCCCAACCCCATCCGACGCCTCATGTCGTACATTCGAGATTTTGAGTCCATTTTTAGTCGGTGGCACCACCTTTCCAAAACCCGACTTCTTTTCCAACTCCCCTCTGACTCCCCCCCCACCACCACCATCATGGAACCCCTTCAAGTCACAATCTCCCCCCGTCCCCACACATACACACACATACACACACACATACACACACATACACACACATACACACACATACACACACATACACACACATACACGCCCAAACCAGCCCAGGGTTCCAGTGCGTCATCATCACGTGCCTTTGGACCCCAGAGACCCACCGGTATTGGAACTGCTGTCGTACACTCCCGTACCCCCCCTACCTCCCCCCCCGCTGCCCCCAGGACCTGGTATTGATTCACTGGCCCGGGGTATCCCGTGTCGCTCCGGACAGCCCCCTGAACGCCCAGATGCGGTTGGAGACGTGGAGGGAGCTGGAGCAGCTGTACGGACAGGTAGGGAGGTAGTTAGGTAGGGAGGTCCGGGTGAGGGAGTGGTTGGGGCGGCTCTGGGGCGGCTCTGGGGGCCGCGGTGGGGGGCGGCTGCTGAGTGGCTGACCGGCTGAGGGCACCGGAGGTGGTTGTCCCGGGGCTCTTGGGAGGGGGGAAGTGTGTTTTCCCCCCATCATCACCCCCACCATCACTATCGAGCAAATTTTCGGGATTACCGTACGGCGCAATTACGTCATCGCATTGGGCTCCGCCGGCAGTTGGCGCTTTGCAACTGAACCAATACACAACTACCCCGCCCACCACCGCCACCGCCACCACCACCATTATGACTGCGAACCACCTTGCCCACCTACTACCCCTCCGGGCCCCTAAGCCCCCAAACCCCCCACCCCCCACACACCGCACACCGCACACCCCGACCCTTTTGAAGGGTGTTGTTCGCGCCATCGGCGTCAGTAACTACGAGGAGAGCCATGTACGGCAGCTGCTGGACAAGGCGGAGGTGAAACCCATGGTACGGCATTGCATGTCTCCACCCGGGTTGGGGAGGAGGGGAGAACAAGGGTTGCGTGGTTTAGCCGTACGACCGTAGGGTTTGAAAATGGAAGGTTAGAAGGTGAGAGCCGGACGTCAGCTGACCGACCCCACCTCACCCCACCGGGGGTGGGGTAGCCACTGCCCCACCCCGCCCGGCCCACCCCACCCCTCCACACCCCTCCCCGGGGCCAACCCGCCAGGTGCTGCTGAGCTGGAGGGTATACCAGAGTATGATACATCGATATGAGTATCGATTTACCAGCAGCGCCCCCCCCAACCCCCCCACCCACACCCACACGACACATCACTCAGCAGTGCAGTACGCATGTCGCTTTCCAAGTTGGCGGACAGCACCGCCCCCACCTGCCCTCTTGCCTTAACCCCTCTGGTGATCTGCTACCGCTGCTACCGCTGCTACTGCTACTGCTGTTATCGTTATTCCTCTTCTTCCTCTTCCTCCTCATGTTGTTGTTCTGGTGGTGGTTGTGGTGGTGGTTTGTTCAGGTGAATCAGTTCGAGGTACACCCCCGGCGTCAACGGAGGGAGCTCAGGCGGCTGTGTGGCCGGGAAGGTGGGGGGGGGGGGCCCGGAAGGTGGGGGGGGGGGGGCGGGAAAGTGGGGGGGGCCCGGAAAGGCAAGGGGGCCCCCCCTTAGCCCCCCCTTTGT